AGTTAACCTGTTCTGGACCCCCTTGGCTAGTGAATCTTGGATAAAAGCATATGAAGATTGAGAGTCAGGAACAAGCATGCTATAAACTTAGGAATTCCTAGATGAACTCATAAAGAAATAGTGTGCTCTGGGAGTCCCTAATGATAGCAGGTGGTAACAAAAAATTACCAAGAAAAATAGGCACTTCCTACTGAGACTAACTAAATAAAAGAGCTAGGTTTCTAGGCAGTTGGCCACACATATTGCATGCAGGACATTGAACCATGTCTTGGAAAAGATGCAGAGGAGATAAGATTAAGTACTTAACTATGAGAGTAAGCAGATTGTGATCACAGGGGAAGGGAGGGGAACCTATACTTATTCTGTCCTTCTTTCAGGACTGTGTTCCATGTGATGGCAGACTTTGCACATGGTGGAGGTTGCATTTATCGACACATGAAAGTCATTCATTGTGAGGAATGGATGAAGAGCTCGCAGGCATCTGAGATCATGCTTAGGAACCAAGAATAGCAAATGGAAGAGCCCATTTTCTCTGGCCTTAAGTATCAGAGATGAGTGAAGAGGGCACCACAGAGGGAAAGAAAAGGCATCCAGGACACAGAAAGGATCAGGAAATTCTTGGCTTCATCCAGGGAGCACTCACTTTTTTGTTGCTGTTGTTACAGATTGGCGAAAAGCTCGGTCCTATATTGATAAGTGCCCCTCTAATTCCTAAGGTCACAGATATAAGACCCTATAGGGAAAGCTCTTACAGCTCTTTCTCTGTCTCCAATTTGGAAGTAGTTGCCTGGCAGGCAGTCTGTGAATGAAGGCTTAAGAAGAATTGAGACCAAGTACTGACCCAATCCTAGTTTAGCACCTGCATCCTGTTTCTTCCCAGTAATTTAGGCACTGTCTTTTTTTTTTTTTTCCTACTTAAAGTTCTCTTCATTCACTTTCTTGTCTTTGTTTTTGTTTTCTCCTGCACTTCAATATTTTGCCTACCATAGGCTAAGAATACAACTAGAAAGCTTCCATTCAAATAACCTTCAGTCTTAAGTGGGTAATTAATATGCATCTTAGAGAAGATCTGATGATTCTAACCACTGAAACTTCCCTCAGAACAGAAGTTGTTGTTGTTAAGTGCTGTAGAGTTTGTTCCAATTCATCATGACCTGGTATAGGATTCCAAGGCTGTACGTCTTTGTAGGAGTAGAAAGCCTCATCTTTCTCCCATGGAGCATCTAGTGAACTTGAACCTCAGACCTTGTGATTCCTGACCCAATGTTTATCCTCAAGAGTCACCGACTCATAATTGGCTCCCCTATGGAAGCCCTTAGAAAGGAAGGATAAATAAAATCTTGTAAATTATCTTTTAATTGTTGTTGTTTTTGTTAGGTGCCATCGAGTTGGTACCGACTCATAGAAACCTTATGCATAATAGAATGAAACACTGCCCGATCCTGAGCCAGGTTCACTACTGTTGCCACGCTTGAGTCCATCCATGCTGCCACTTGGCTAATCCATCTCATTGGGGGTCTTCCTCTTTTTCTCTGACCCTCCACCTTACCAAACATGATACCCTTCTCCAGCGACTGGTCCCTCCTAACAATATGTCCTAAGTATGAGAGACAAAGTTTGGTCATCTTGGCCTCCAAGGAGCACTCTGGCTGCACTTCTTCCAAAACGGATCTATTGGTTCTTTTGGCAGCCCATGGCACTTTCAATATTTTCCTTCAACACCATAACTCAAAAGCACCAATTCTTCTATGGTCTTCCTTATTCACTGTCCAGCTCTCGCATGCATATGAGGTTATTGAAAATAGCATGGCCTGGGTCAGGCACACCTTATTTCTCAAGCTGACATCTTTGCTCATTAACAACCTGCAATATGCAGATGATACAACCTTGCTTACTGAAAGTGAAGAGGACTTAAAACACATACTGATGAAGATCAAAGAGCACAGCCTTCAGTATGGATTATATCTCAATGTAAAGAAAACAAAAATCCTCACCACTGGACCAATAAACAACATTCTTATCAATGGAGAAAAGATTGAAGTTGTCAAGGACTTCATTCTTCTTGGATCAACTATCAACACTCATGGAAGCAGCAGTCAAGAAATCAGATGACATATTGCATTAGGCAAATCTGTTGCACAAGACCTTTTTAAAGTGTTGAAGAAGGAGATTAGTGGAGGGAAAATGAAGGTAGCAGGAGACACAGTAAGGAATGCAATGTTAAAATGAAGAGGTTAATATTGTTAACTGTTGGTACATGGAAGGGATTGCAATCGTTGTGATGAAGGAAACAATATGATATGCTGAACATAAAACTAATAATCTACTCTGTAAACCTTCACTCAATTCACAATAAAAAGTGAAAAAAGAAAGAAAGAAAGAAAGTTTGTGAGTAACCATCTAACATTTAGCTATTGGTTTCTCCTGCATGGAAGTAAATCAGTCCAGTGAAGAAATGGATCATGTGAACATCAGCCTCCATGAACCAAGACCTGAAAAACTAGATGGTGTCCGTCTACCACTACCAAATGATCACTAGCAACTGCCCAGAAAAGTATCACATTAAAAGGTCCTGGATAGAGTGGGAGAAAAATGGAGAACAAAACTAAAAATCATAAAAACAAAAACCAGACTTATTGGGGGATAGATTTGGGGAACCCTTAGACTATGGCCCTTAGTCTCTCTTCATATCTGGAAATGAGCTAACTCCATGACTGAATTATCAGTCAAATACACCATTCTATAATGGAAACAATAGTACTCTTGATAGACGCACACCTTAGAATAAACAACCATTTGGGATCAAGAAGGCAGCATTTACCAAGGACAAAATTCAGAAAGGTTAAGAAAGGAGGAATGGAAATAGGAAACACAGGGAGGAAATGGGTAGGTGATGTTACATTGTGGGAATTGTAATCAATGAGATCAAACAAAATGTACACAAATTGTTGAATGTAAAATTGATGAAAATTGCTCTGTAAATCTTCACCCAATTCACAATAAAGGAAGAACAAATGTATAAATAATTCATGAAAACTTTTCTTATCTAAAAGATTCAAATAATTTAAAAGGTAAAAGTGTTATTTCATTCAATGAAGGTTTAATCCTCAGTTTAGCACGCAAGCTTCTTCTTAGACTCTAAAAAGGTATTTATATATATGTGGACTCCTGGTGTGACAATGTAGGATAAGCATTGGTCAGCAGCTCAAACCCACCAGCTTCTCCTTGGAACAAGAAAACAACAACATACATATGTATGCATACATTTTTGTTTTTATTTTTAAGGGGAATCGTTAGTATAGTTTTGCATTGTGCTTTTGTTTCACTGAGTAATACATTATGATTATCTACGATGGTGGTGGTGGTGGCTGTGTGCCACTGAGTTGGTTCTGACTCTTAGCCACCCTGTATATGGTTTGCAACTCTATAAATCTTTATGGGAACTGAAAACCTCATTTTTCTTGTGCTGAGTGACTGGTGGATTCGAACTGTAGACGTTGACGTTAGCAACCCAGCTCGTATCTACTATGCTAGCAGGACTCTTCTTATCTATGATGTTGTTGTTGTGTGAACATAAATCATTCATTTAAATGAAACATTGAATTCCATTATACATCTAACCGGTCTCCTCTGGGTGGCCATTAAATTGGTGATACTTTTTTTACTTTTAAAAAAGCATGGTGCAGTGTCATCTCTACATGTACTTCTCTCTGCACTTGCACAAGTACTTTGCTGGAACAGATATTTGGAGTGGAGTTTGTGGGCCAATTATGCACATTCTAAATTTCACAATGTTTTACAAATGACTAGAATTCAAACAGGTTTTGCCACGTAGCACAAAATGGTCCTGGCACATAGTGAGTTCTCAGTAAATATTTGTTTAGTAAATGAGTGAAAACATGGGTGAAACCTGGTCTTATTCCTAAGTTTCAGTTCACTAACCAGGTCAGAAAAGTCAGTTACCATGGAGTCATTCTAACTCACGGCTACCCATTTATGTTAGAGTATAACTGTGATCTACAAAGGTTTCAGTGATGGAGTTTTTAGGAAATAGAGCTCCAAGTCTTTCTTCCAAAAAAGGGCTAGAACCTTCAATCTTTAGGAGCGTGCTTTAACAATTTGCACCTCCCAAGGACTCCTACTCTACCTAGTAACTGGTGAGACGTTAGTCTCAAAAGTACAATTGGTCGACTGACCCACAGTCAGCCAATCCTGGCCTCTGGAATATTCATTGGCAATCTTGGTACTTTGTGGTCACTGAGTGACCGGTCCGCATTTCCCACACCGACTTTAATGGGGAGCGAACTAAAGTTTTCCCTCTACTTTCGGGACGGTTTGGTTTCTGGTTGTAACTGTGCCCATGGGCAGGTTGAAGGAAAAAAGGACGACCGAAAAAATCATCATTTAAGGGAAAGAGGAGAAAAGAAAACACAAGAATCAATTATAGAAGGTAGGAAAGGGAAGGGAGGCATTGCAGCTCCTGGAAGTGGGTGGTAGGTGGACGGAGACGGGGAGGAGGACCCTATTCTGATGTGCAGGAAAGACTGAGTCTTTCTGTTTGGGAGGCTCTGCCAATTTACCTCGGGTCACAAAGCCTGCTGCACTGGGAGGAAGATAGGGTGGAGGGTGGGGCGTGGGGGCGCATGGAAGAATATCAAGTGACAGAAACTCAACCCTGTCTAGAGAATTGAGCCAGGGAGGGCAGACAATTGCCTTCTTAATCAACCAGGAGGCATATGGAAAAGGATGTGTTGTTGGCTGTATGGAATATGTGGAATTTTTAATGAATTTTTTAGATACCTCAATCAATACCTGAGTCAGGAGAAGAAGGGGGCTACTCAAGACAAAAGCTGGGGTGTTGATGATACAAACGTGGGTTTCAGGAAAGTTTGACCTAGAGCAGCACTGTAGTGCTAAGTCCCCTTGGCTGATTCCTCCACTTTTGCACCCTTAGGCCTTTGGGTCCCTGTCTCTCCTGGGTGACTCCGTCCTTGGTGCCTATGGAACCAGCTGCTTCCTTGAACTTCTTCCTGCCAGACTCCCTTATCTTCTTCCCTCTCCTCTGCGTGTTTGCACTGGTCTCAGGTAGGGGTTTATGCAACCTGCTCTTATCAAAGAAGAAGAAGAGAGTGGGGATTTATGCCACTTGGTCTTATCAAAGAAAAGAAAATTGATACTTAAGTCTTCAACAAGAAAGAGCAAAGTAGAAGTGCGCAGTTGTATTTACCCATCCTTTGCTTATACACTTGTTCACAGGAATACTGCACACACACACACACACACACACACACACACCTCCCCTCTTTTGGAAAGTTGTTGTTGTTTAGTGCCATCCAGTCAGTTCTGACTCATAGGTACCCTGTATAGGGTTTCTGAGGAGCCGCTGGTGAGCTTGAACTGCTGATCTTACTGTTCAAGCCAACCTTGAAGTCCAGTGAATTAACCTGCAACATCACACCAGAACTCCCTGAAAAGAAGAGTACCCTATGAAGATAAAGGTGCTCCCTGAAAAGAAGAGCACCTTTATGATCTCTGAAAAGAAAAGCACCTTTATGCCATTTCAGTTTACCAAAGGTAAAGCAAAAAAGCAAAGAAACAAATGGTAAAGCAATTACCATTATTTATATGGAAAAATTGTTTTGAGTGTTATCAGAGTAAAAATAAAACCAACCAAATCACATCAAATAACATAAAACAACACTAAATTGAAACTACGAAGGCTTCAGGCTGAGATGCTGAGGGTAGTTCTGTGGGAAGGAGCCAAGTCCCCTTGGCTGCTTGGGGTACAGGAGCTGCCTGTTGAAAGACTTTGGAAAGCAAATACTGAACACTAGTTTAAATTTTCATTTTTTTTCATAAAGTGAGAATCCTTTTCATATTTCTTTCAGAAGAACAGGTATTAATGTGGGTTTTTTGTAAAAAGCAAAGGGGTAAAGCAAACTTTCAACAAAGCAGGATATATCTGTGTAATGAGAGCCACGAATGCAAGCCACATTTGTCATTTAAATTTCTAGTCATTACATTCAAAAAGAAGGAGCCCTGGTAGTATAGTGGATTAGGATCTAGACTGCTAATTGCAAGTTCACATCTACCAGTCTCTATGTGAGAGAAAGATGAACTTTCTGCTCCTGTAAAAGTTCACAGCCTCAGAAACCCTATACAGGGTCTCTATGAGTCAGAACTAACAGGGTGGCACACAACAACCACCATCACATTAAAAAAGAAGTCCTTGGGTAGTGGAAACAGTTAACACGCACGGTTAACGTGCTCAGCTGTTAACCAAAAGGTTGGGAGTGCAAAACCACACAGAGGTGTTCAGTATTTATAAAGACCAGGCAATCTACTGAGAAAATCAGCCATTGAAAACCCTATGGAGCACAGTTCTATTCTGACACACATAAGGTTGCCATGAGCAGAATAGACTCCATAGAAAATGGTCAACTGGTACACTCTAAAAGCAAAAATAGATAAAATCATTCATTGCCATGGTTATAATCCCCTCCATGCATCATCAACCAACCAAAGGGTATATATACCCTTACACTGTAAGCCTGCCTCCCGGTCGTCAGCACACAGCCCCTCTCCCTCTCCAGGTCTATAGTTCCCAGCTGCTCCATCTCTCTACATCATCGTCTCTGCCTCCATCTCTGGCATCACTGTTTCTCTGGGTAGGGTCCCACACTCCACTTTTCTCCCTTGATGATCCCAGGGACCTCCGCTCCTGGACTGCAAAGTCAATCACTCCCCTCCTTTTACTACAAAATGTCTACCTTTACATTTCCAACCCTGATAACAATTATTCACTATTGTACCACAATAGAGCTATCTGCATCTCCTCTCATCCGCCCTGTGCAGACATATTGGATACTACTCAGTGGTGATTCTACCTTCCTCCACGCCCTCTGGATCTAGGCTCCCTCTTGAAAGCTTATAAGCCAGTCACTTCTTGCCTTTGTAGTCCCCTCCTCCCCCATTTTGAGTAGCCAATGTCCAAGTTGCCCATCCCTGTCTACTCTGTGTATGGATGGGGTGGGAATGATCCTTGTTGTAAAGATTTGTCCCCTCTTTTGAGCTACTACATCCATAGGTGTAGGTCAAGTTCATCAAATTGTATCAGATTACTCTTTTTTTCCTCTTCTTTCTTTTTCTAGTTGAGCTCTGACCATCCAGTCATTGAAGTCAGGTCAAGTGGGTGTTATCTGTAAGTGTGGGTGTTCTTATGCACTCTCTTCTTATCAGCTGGACACTTCACTCTCCACTCTAGTCCTCTGTGGCTATGTCACTGACTCTGGGCCCAAAGTCCCCAGGTCTTGCCACACTGCTGGCCAATCAGGTCTCCACTTGGGTTCACAGTAGTCTATTGAATATTGTATGACTTAGCTCCCAGATTCATTGCTGTTTTCCCCTCATTTCCCCTTATCAGTGATGAACATCGTCACCAATCAGAGCGCATGTGTACTCGTGTATTACCATTGAGTCTTAGTCTTGGAAGGGAGTTTTCCCTGAGGGGACCTGACCATTTGCCTTGATGTCTCCTGGGCGAGCAACTTGCTTGTTCTTGTAGTAATCAGTCAGACTGCTGTTAATGTATTTTCCTGTCAGTCTTTCTTTCCAGAAGTATCTTCTGTTCTTCTAGATGCTCCAAGCTGGTCTGCTTGCCCTTTCAAGTAGAAATTTCCCACCTCAAAAGATTCTGGATGGGGTTCAGGATTCTACCTATCGTCTTATGTAATGCAGAGGCTTTGCAGGAAGTCTTCTTCAATGGGCACGTTGTAGCCCCATTTTAGGTATTCCAATCAGTTATAGGCAGAAGACGGACTTACAAGCTTTCTATGGTGATATTTCTGACTATTCCTTTCTCTCCCCCTCAAGTGTCTATTTTATAATGGTATGCCAGGGAAACCAAGATTCAAAAGACACACAAGCATCTTAACATTAAAATGAGTTTTAAAAGTATATTTGATTTAACTTAAAAGTATCCAAAAATGTTTTTATTTCAACATTTAATTAATGTAAAAATTACTAATGAGATATTTAAACTTTAAAAATAAAATACTAAGTCTTCAAAACCACTTCTAGAACATTGAAATTGGAGCTAGTCAGTGACTTTCATATTAGGAAGCTCAAGTTAATACTACATTGCAGGCACTATCTTGGACGGGAGAATTGAGGAAAATTCCTGTGAACCTAGGGTTTATAGGACTCACAGGAGTTTTAGTAGCTCAGTGAGTGCTCCTCAATGTCTTACACACAATGCGCTCACAACCTCTCTGTCCTACTTTTTCCAGGAGCAGTGCCAATCACCCACAACTCATGGCCCTTAGTGTCCTCAGCCCAGGAAGTCCCTGTGTCCTTAGCAAGAATTGGGCCCCTGGAATATCTACTTCCTTTCCTGCCTTAGATATTTGATGGTTGATGTCCTTCTCTGATTCTACATTTTTGTTGAACAGCCCAGTTTACTGTGGTGGGGCCAGCTGATCCAATCCTAGTTATGGTGGGAGAAAATACTACATTACAGTGCCACCTGTCACCAGAGAAAAATGCTGAGGACATGGAGGTGCGGTGGTTCCGGTCTCAGTTCTCCCCTGCCATGTTCGTGTATAAGGGCAGGGGAGAAAGAACAGAAGAGCAGATGGAGGCTTACCAAGGAAGAACAACCTTTGTGAGTGATGAAATCAGCAAGGGGAGAGTGGCGTTGATCATTCACAATGTCACAGCCCAGGAAAACGGTATCTACCACTGTTATTTCCAAGAAGGCAGGTCCTACGATCAGGCCATCATGCACCTGATGGTGGCAGGTACGTCTCTTCAGTTTGCTTAGTAACTTTTTCACAGTGTGACTCTTGGGGAACAGTTTCTCTCTTAAATCAGGCCCATTGTAGACCAGCAGATTTTGCATGGAATCTCCTTTAAACAAAGGGCCAGGTGACTTTACCCTACTAAACTGAAGGTATCACTTCTTCAGAAGCATATACGTGAGCCCCGTGAACCCTTCAGCAGAGGAGACTATGCCTATGGATAATTTTACACCTAATTCTTAATGATCTTTAGGGTTCTTCATCAGTAACATTTAGAATTAATCAGATATTTATATTGTGAAATATAATACACATTCAGAAAATTCATAAAGCATTAGTGTACAGTTTACTGAATTATTATAAAGGACGATTTGTGTAAGTACTACCCAGTTCAACAAATTAGAGCACTACCCTCTTCTTCTTCTCAGTCATAAACCCCTGCCTCTTCCCACTAAGTCCCAGCTTCTTGTTGTTGTTGTGAGGTGCCATCGAGTCAGCTCTGACTCATAGCGACCCTCTGCACAACAGAAGGACACACTGCCTGATCCTGCACCATCCTTACAACTGCTGTTACACTTCAGCCCATCTGCTGTTGCCTCTATGCCAACCAATCTCAATAGGGGGTCTTTCTGTTTTTTGCTGACCCCCCACTTTACCAAAGAGAGGTGATTCAATGTAATGTGTAAACAATAGGACAATATCATTAATATCACATGCAAATACAATTTTGCTAACAATAATTCAAAAACAACCGCAGCAGTACATTGACGGGGAATGCCAGAGGTTCAGACTAGAATCACAAGAGGACATGGAATAAGGGATATCACTGATGTCATCGAATGGATGTTGGCTAAAGCAGACAATACCAGAAAGATGTTTACTTGTACTGTATTGACTATGAGAAGGCTTTTGATTTTGTAAATCATGATAAACTATGGACAAGATTGCAGAGAATGAGTGTTTTGAAACATTTGTGTTCATGAGAAACCTGTACATAGACCAAGAGGCAGTTGTTAGAATAGAACAAGGGAGAATTGAATGTTTTAAAATTAGGAAAGGTGTACACAGAGGTTGTATTCTTTCACTATATTTATTAATCTGTATGATGAGCAAATAATCTGAGAAACTGGATTATATGAAGGATGGCCTGTAATATAGAGATGATGCACCATTGCTTGCTGAAAGGAAAGAGGACTTGAAATACTTACTGATGAAGATCAAAGACCTTAGCTTTCAGTATGGGTTACACCTCAATAGAAAGAAAACAAAAATCCTCACTACTGGATCAATAAATAACATCAAGATAAATGGAGAAAAGATCGAAGTTGTCAAAGACTTCATTTTGCTCAGATTAGCCATCAATACTCATGGAATCAGCAGTCAACAAATCAAACAACATATTGCATTAGACAAATCGGCGGCACAAGACCTCTTTAAAGTGTTCAAGAGCAAAGATGTCAGTTTGAGGACTAAGGTGCACCTGACTCAAGCCATGGTATTTTCAATAGCCTCACATGCATGTGAAAGTTGGACATTGATGAAGAAGACCTTAGATGAATTGATGCATTTGAGTTATGGTGTTGGAGGAGAATATTAAAAGTACCCTGGACCACCAAAAGAACAAATAAATCTGTGTTGGAAAAAGTACAACCAGAATGCTCCTTGGAAGTCAGGATGGTCAGACTTTGTCTCTCAAACTTTGGAATATTGTCAGGAGGGACCAGTCACTGGAGAAGGACATCATGCTTAGTAAAGTGGAAGGTCAGTGAAAAGAGGACGACCCCCCAATGAGATGGGTTGGCACAGTGGCGGCAGCAATGGGCTCAAGTGTAGCAATGATTGTGAGATTGGCACAAGACAAGGCAGTGTTTCATTCTGCTGTGCATAAGGTCACTATGAGTCATTACCAACTTGACAGCACCTCACAACAACAACAACAACAATCTCCAGTTCTCTATTTTCAGTCTTGTAGGTTTGTTTTACTTTAAATACTTCTATATCTGGATTGTGTTTGGGGTATAGTGTTGTCATGTATGGTAATACCAGGTTTTTGTCTGCTGGTTCTCAGTCCAAAGAACACTCTTTAAAAACTTTCCCTAAAAGCCGAGACTGTAAATTCCAAAAAGGCAAAGTTTTTCCAAAAAAAAAAGCTAAAGAGGATAGAGAGAAACTCTGTTAACTGATGGTATGTGGAGGGGATTATAATCAATGTAATGAAACAAGGTATATGAATGTTTGAATGTGAAACCGATGATGTGCCCTGAGAACTTTCACTCAATCCAAAATAAAAACCTTAAATAAATAAATAAATAAATAAAATAACAAAGAAAACTCTTTAGAATTTTTCATAAAGCTGTTCTGGTTATTACAAATTCCTTTAATTTCTGTTTATCAGGAAATGTTCTAATTTTGCCTTTCTATTTAAGGAACAGCTTTGATGAGTATATGATTCTTGGTTAGCAATTTTTTTTTTCTTTCAGAGTTCTGTATATGTCATCCTATTGCCTTTTTGCTTTCAGGGTTCTGTTGAAAAATCAAAGATCAGTCCTATTGCTTCTGCTTTGTAGGTAACTTTTTGTTTTTTCGGAGCTGCTCTCAGGATTCTTTCCTTGTCTTTGGTTTGATTATGATATGTCTTGAGGGTTTTCTTTTGGAATCTATCCTGTTTTGGGTTTGTTCAGCTTCCTGCATAATTATCTTCTCATCTTTCATGATTTTAGAGAATTTTTCAACTCTTTGACAATTTTCTCTCTGCTTTTTGTTGTCTCTTCCTGTTTTGGAATTTCAGTGTAAGTTGTTCCCCTTCATGGTGTCCCCTATAATTCTTAGGCTATCTTTAGATTTTTTCATTCTTTTTCTGATTGTTCTTCGAGCACACTAGTATTGAGATACTTATCTTCAAGCTCACTAATTAAGGCTTCCATTGCTTCAACTCTACTTCTTTGCCCTTTCATTGTGTTGATCATTTCTGAAATCTAAGAATGAATGTTCTGAATTCCTAATTGTAGGTTTCGTATTGTTTCAAAATTTGCATTTCTGTTTGTTCTAGTAGTGTTTTCCTGAATTCTTCTAAGTTTTTTCTGTGTTCTCCTTGCTTTCCTTGATCTTTCTGTCAACCCTTTGAAGGTACCTAAATATCATTCTTTGAATTATTTTTTTCAATTATCTCCATTACCTTTACTTCCTCAGAAATGTTTTCTCTCTCTACGTCTTGGTCATTTGTTTAAGTCATTCTCTCTTGTTTCTTTGTGTGAGCTAAAATTGTCTATTTCTCTAGGGAATTGTGGGATTGTTGTATTTGTATTTAATTGACAATTGTATGTTGATGTGTTCTTAGGCTCTTACGAACTGTTTACTGTGGGTGTAGGTAGAGAACGGAAGCATGTACAGGTTAAGTTAGGGTGTGATTGGCTGGTGTTGGCTGCTATCATTAATCAGGTGGCATAGTAACTGGCATGTGTTTTTGTCTAGTGGGTGGAGCTACAGAGATCACAGCTGTGACGGTCTCCTGTTAGATGGGAAAGAGAACCCCCCCCCACACACACACACACAAGAAAAGAAAACAGAATAAAAAGGAGCCAACAATGAAAAGAAAAAAACAAATATAAAGAGAAAAAGGAAATAAAAACAGGCAGCAAACAAACAAACAAACAAACAAAAATATAATAAGTATAAAGACACAAGGGGGACATGGAAGTGGAGCTATAGACAAGAAAATCAGAGAGAAAATAAAATGAAGCAATTAAAAAAAATCAAAAAACCTTAGAAAAACCAGGGAGAAGGAAGATGCAAAGAGAAAGAGAGAATTAAAGAAAGATCAAAAGGCGGGGGGGAGATGAAGGAAATCAGAAACAGAAGAAAAGAAGGAAAAACAAAAGCAGAGATAAAGAGGATAAAATTAAAGCGAAGTAGAAGGAAGGGAAAGAATAAACAAACAAAAACAATGAAACAAAAATACCAAACCCCAAAACAAAACAAAGCAAAAAAACAGTGTAGCGTTGAACCCAGAGAGGAGAAAATTCCGGGGGAAGAGGGGAGTCCTGCAAGCTCATGAGGTGGGTGTGGAGATGGAGGTAACAACAGAGTTCCTGGCCCTTGATGCAGTTCATATAGGCATCGATGTTTATCTATGTTCAGGACACTCAGTCTGGAAGTAGTTCATGGAAGCTCTTGATGGAGCTGGTTTCAATGTCTGTTAAGATCACAAGACAGCTGGGAGCAAGGTGACTGGTTAAATGCTGATCTGGTGGCTCTATAGGTTCTGTAGGTCTGGAGCTGAGGCCCCTTGAATCCAGGAACAAAGCAGTGCACCAAAGTGACATATCCAGTCCCAGCCTCACATTGACTTGACTCCCAACCATATGGCTCTGAACTCCTGGAGAGCAGGGTCTGTACTAGGGATGGATGATGGTGGGAGCTGGGCACCCAGCTGGCACCAGGGGGTCATGGAAAAAAGAAGGAATTGCACCTTGTCTGTCATCTGTGTGAATCTGCTCTGCCAGGCCACCTTCTGTTGCCAAAACTGCTCACAAGATGATCAAGCTGCATCTGCCCGGCCATTCACCCAGGCAGTCTCCTTTCACCTTTCCTGCTCAGTTTCTCCTCCCAGCGAGCCTTCCACTTCTCTAACCTTTCCTCTGAAGTTCAGGGTTCTCAAATTTTTATCTGTTTCTGTTTCATTTGGTCTCTAGTATCTTTGTTGTAGAGGGTCCATGTTTTGTGTCTGCCTAGTCCACTATCTTCACAGAAGATCCATGTCATTTGATTTCTTGACTACTGCTTCCATGAGTGTTGATAGTGGAGCCAAGTAAAATGAAGTCTTAGACAACTTCAGTCTTTTCTCCATTTATCATGATACCGGTCCAGTTGTGAGGATTTTTGTTTCCTTTACTTTGATGTGCAATCCATACTGAAGGCTGTGGTCTTTGATCTTCATCCGTAAGTATTTTAAGCAAGGTTGTATCATCTGCATCTCTCAGGTTGTTAATAAATCTTCCTCCAATCCTGATGCCACGTTCTTCTTCATAAATCCAGCTTCTTGGATTCTTTGCTCAACATACAGATTGAATAAGTATGGTGAAAGAACACAACCCTGCTGCACTCCATTCCTGATTTTAAACCAGTCAGTATCCCCTTGGTTACTGTTCATATGACTGCCTCTTGGCCTACGTATGGGTTCCTCATGAGCATAATTAAGTGTTCTGGAATACTCATTCTTTGCAATGTTATCCATAGCTTGTCATGATCCACACAGTCAAAACCAAGTAAACATCTTTCTGGTGTTCTCTGCTTTTAGCCAAGACACATCTGACATCGGCCTATCCCTCATTCCACGTCTCTGTCTGAATCCAGCCTGAACCTCTGGCAGCTCTCTGTCAATGTACTGCTGCAGCCATTTTTAAATTATCTTTGTTTCCCAAATACTTAACAAACACCTCCTATATTTGAGACACGATTCTAAAACTTAAGATATGAGGCTAAGTCAGAAAGTAATATTAAACAAAAATATTAAAATGTGAAGCTATTGTTTCTCAACATATCCTCTATCTAGGTCTTCATATACTTCTGAAGATGATGTTTCCGTCTCTTTAACCTATTCCCAAAGAATTCTGTGCTGTTCAATTTATACCACGTCTAAACAGTAGTTTTGACATCCTCAAGGGACTCAAAGCATGTTCATTTTCAATGTTATTTGAGTTAGGGAACAACAAGGATAAAAAGTCTGAAGGGGCACAAGCAGGTCTGAAGAGTGGATGGGGTAAGATTTCCCAAAGAAATTCTCTTAGGACAGCCTATGCATTGTGGTTTGAAAAATAGTCCTTGACATAAGTTTCCTGGCCTTTTTCTCACCAATGCAGTTTCGAATTTACTTAAAACTTGTTCATAATAATCCCTTGTGATTATTCTGTGTCTTTCAAGAAAATATGTCAAGCTGCCCCTTGGAAATTCCCCAAAGATTGCCATAAACTTCTAAGCTGACCTCTCTGGCTTGAATTGAGTGGCCCTCTGAAGCCACAGCCTTGATTGGACCTTTTTTTGAAGGCACCCTAACAAGACTAAGACAAATAAATTACAGAGGAAACATATTTGCAGCCATCACTAAGAGCAGTGATATGTTTGAACGTGTTTTGTTTGGAATAAATCCATGAATGTATGAACTGGAATCTCAGGAGTAATACTTTTGACTTACTGTCATAAATCAATGAACAAAATACATGAAGATTCCTGCCCTCAAGAAGTTCAGATTCTAGAGGGAGCAGAAAGTAATAAATGAAATCATTAAGTAAAATGGATCATGTATTAGGGAGTCTTGGTGTGGTGCACTGTGGGTTAATTCGCTGGATTGCAAAGTTGGTTGATCTGCAACATTGGTGGTTCAAGCTCACCAGCCACTCCTTGGAAACCCTATACAGGGTCGCTATGGGTTAAACCAACTTGGCAGCACTTAACAACAACAACAAATAATGTATTAGAGCTCCCTAGTGACACAAACAGTTTGCCCTCATCTACTAACCTAATTTTGGCAGTTTGACCCCATCCAGTGACTGCACAGAAGAGACTCCTACTCAGATTCGTGGCTGTGCTATATAGGGTGTGAGAATGTAAATCTATATGGAAGCAGACAGCCTCCTCTTTCTCCTAGAGTGACTGGTGGGTTTGAAACACCAACTTTGTAGTAAACAGCCCAACACCTAACCCATAGTGCCATCAGGGATCCTTAAGCATTTATTAGGCAGGTAGATGCTTGATATGATAATGAGGTTCATTTGTGTGATACTTAGAAAAGTATGCAGAGGGGAAGCAAAAACAAACCTCTTGTCATCAAGTCCATTCTGACTTATGGTGACAGATTAAAACTGAACACCAGAAGGTTTTCTTTCTTTCTTTATTTATTTTTAAATTTTTATTGTGAATTATGTGGGTTTACATGGGAAAACATCAGTTTTACATCCATCCTATCGTATTTCATTTCATTGCAATGATTATAATCCCCTCCATGCATCATCAAAGAACCAAAGGGTACATACACTCCACAGGCCCCATCCCCACCCCGGCTGTCAACACACAGCCCCTCTTCCTCCCTGAGTCCAGTGTCCCCAGCCACTCCATCTGTCCACGTCATCATCTCTGTCTCCATCTCTGGCGTCACTGCCTCTCTGGGTAGGGTCACGCTCTCCGCTCTTCTCACTTTATGGTCCCAGGGACCTCTGCTCCTAGGCTGCAAAATCAATCACTCCCCTCCTTTTGTCAAAAAACATCTATCTCTACATTTCCGACCCTCACAGTCAGTCCTGATGGCAATGATTCACTATTGTACCACAAGAGTCTTATCCCCATTTCCTTTCTCCAGCCCAGTTCCAAGAGATTGGAAATCATTCAGTGGAGGTTCTACCTACCTCTGCCCCATCTGGAACTAGGCTCCTTCTTGAAAGTTTGTAATCCAGTCACTTCTTGCATTTATAGCCCTCCTCCCCCACATTTTGGGGAGCCAATGTCTAAGTTGCCCCTCCCTGTCAACCCTGTGTACCGAGGAGGTGGGAGTGATCCTTGCTGTAATTGGCTTTAGTCTTTATAGAAACAAATCACAAGTCTGGATAGGTTCAAACCACCAGCATTTGGTTAGTAGTGAGTGCAAACCATCTGCACCATCCAGGGACCATTTTCTCCTTAAAGACCGTAGTATTTATTTGGAATATTGGTCTTCTAGTAGCCTCTGACTTTAAGGTTCTTTCTACCTTTCTCCTTCCTTGCTTTCCTCCTCCCTGTCTCCTTCCCTCTTTTTCTTTCTTCCTTCCTTCCCAGAAGGACTACTGCAGTTATATGAAACATGCATGTTCAGTTTCTCTAATATCTGCCCAATTGCTCTTTTCCTTGATTGTCATCATTAAGAGCTGATCTTCTAAAATACACCAGTTAAGACATCATTACCCTTTTAGCTGAGTCCAAGTCTCTCTCCCCAGGTCTGGGCTCTATACCCCTCATTGAAATGAAGGGCTATGAGGATGGCAGCATCCGGCTCGAGTGCACATCTGTCGGGTGGTTCCCACAACCCCATGCAGTGTGGAGGGGCCCTGCTGGAGAAGTCATGCCCAACCTGGAGGAAAATTACACTGCTGAAGATGATGGTCTTTTCACAGTCACCATGTCTGTAATCATTAAAAACTGGTCTGTGAGGAATGTGTCCTGTTCCATCACCAACACCCTGCTGAGCCAAGAGAAGGAAACTGTGATATTCATTCCAGGTTAGTTTCCTGCCCTCTGGAAACTTCATATGAAGCCAGGAACATCGATAGACAAATCAGAGCCCTAAGTGGGGATGGAGATGTGAAAGTTGGGGGTGAACTGAGCTGACAGTTCTCTTCTTGATACAAAGGGGAAACAAATATATTCAAAACACATGAGGATAAATCTGATAATAGTTTATGGTCCTTATCCTGCAGCAATTTTCCAACACTTAGAACAGTCATAAAAAGTGGAGAGTGATTTGGGTGGATTACTACCTGCAGTATGCTTTGACTTTTGGTACTTCTAGCGCATGGGATTTCCTAAGGTACATAACTAGGAAAATTCCCTATCAACAGACCTTCATAAATTCAATCCACAAAATACCTCACAAGTGTGTCTTATTATGCTCAAAATACTTCACAAGTGTGTCTTATTATGCTCAACTAGTTTAGAACCCAAAGCTAAATCAGTGAACAAAATTCATGAAAATTCCTGCCCTCATAGAGCTTACACTCTATAGGAAACAGAGTCTTAAGTGGAATAACTAAGTAAAATCAATACTGTATCAGATGGTGAAAAAATAAAGCAGAGGAGGGGGTAGCGAGTGCCAGGGACATTGGGGCATGGTAATTATAAATAGGGTTGGCAGAGAAAGTTTTATTAAAATAATGATATTTAAGCCAAGACTATAATGAAGTGAGAGAGTGAGCCAAGGAAATACTTGAGGGCTGAACAATCTAGGTAGAAGGAACAGATTTACAGAGTCTGATGCAGGAATGTGTCTGGCAGCTTCAAGTAACCCCAAGAGACTTGTATGGCTTGAATAAATCAAGTGGAGGGTAAGTTGGAGGAGATGTGCCTAGATCATATAGGCTGTGTAGGTCACAACCTATCAGTTTGTAGTACTGTGATAGCTTGCATATTGTTAACAATCCTAAAAACGATGCCACAGGTATTTCAAATATCAGTAGGGTCACACATAGTGGACAAGTTTAGCAGAGCGTCCAGACAAAGACTAGGAAGCAAGTTTTGGTAATCTACTTCTGAAAATTGACCAAGGAAAATCATAGAGATCACAAAGAATATTATCTGATGTACTGCTTGAAAGTGGATCTCCTATATTGAAAAACACTCAAAATACACAGAGACAGCAACAGTGAACTTGGGCATTGCAAGAATCATAAAGACGATACAGGACCAGGCAAATATTTCATTGTACTGTACACAGGGCCACCATACGCCAGAGCCCACTCAATGGCAACTAACAACCACAACCACAACACAATGATTCTTATGCTGAACAAAATGGAAAGTCATTGGATAGTTTGAACAAATAATGTGATCTCACTTAGGCTGCTCTGGTGAGAATACAAAAGGGCTTCAAAAAGCTAGTAAGTAGGCAAATGGAACTTAAAGGTAATGACAATTTTTCCATGACCTTTTTGAAGCCCCCTCATAGACTGAAGGAGTCCTGGTATGACACCATAGGATAAGCACTTGACCCCAAGGTCGATTTTAACCACAAGGTCGGTAGTTCAAACTCACCAGCCACTCTTCAGAAACCCTATACAGGGTTTCTATGAGTCAGAACTGACTCAACAGCACTAAACAACAACAACAACATAGACTGAAGAGTGTAAAGAAAGATGCAAGGAGGAAGGCATTGCAATATTTCAGGCAAGAAGTGATGTTGGTTTGTACTAGAGCGGTGACCATGGGGATTCAGCATGGCTGGTTAGACTTTAATCATTATGACTTTTCTCATGGGTGACCCAGTTGTTATGCTTTCTGATTTCCTGGGTCTTTTCCAGGCAATTGTTGTGGGGTTAGACAGCAGAAGCAAGAGTCTTTCTCCATCTGAAGTTTCTGAGTAAAGAGTCAGACAAAGCAGGGGCTTAAGGAAGCTCCTCAGATGTGAGGGTCACTCTCACCCTGGACCTCCTATTTTTCAAGGAATGGAACTTCACTGGCTCTCTTTCAGCACCCATAATTCCCAGCACCTCTCACTGGATGGTGGTCCTGGCTACCACCCTGCCAACTCTGATCCTTCTCATCCTCATCACTGGGGGCATCTGTTTCATTCAAAAACTCCAGAGGGAAAAAAAGATTCTATCATTGGAAGAAGAGAATGAACAGAAAGACAAAGAAATTATAGGTAAGGAACTGGGAAAAAAAGGTGCAGAAAAAGTGAAAGAATGTCACATAAAAGACAAGTAGGAGCACAATTTACTGTCTTAATACAAAGGGCACAGTTCTGACAGGGAGAACAGAGAGGAAAGAGACACAGAAGCTAGGGACTTGGAATATTCACATCCTTGTACCTCATCCCTCAGAGCTGTCTTTCTCTTGTTCTGCAAACATTGAGCATTCATTTACTTGATTACATGCAGCACTATAGTGTTGAACCAAAACAAACCTAAACAAAGTACAATGGTGTCTAGTTGCCTGATTATATGGCACTTCTGGTTCCTTGATAATTTCTTAATCATGGGATAGGGGTGGGGGTATTCATAGAAAAGACCATTCTTTCATTAATACAAATCAAATTCTCTTGGTTCGTCTAAGGACACTAATTTTTTGTTTGTTTTGTTTTCAGAGAAACTTCAAGAAGAGTTACGTAAGTTTAGCATTTCCTGAGCATTTCCAGATTCCACACACACTCTGTATTCTGTTTGGTTAGGCTTTGTCTTACGACATTCACTTCTGTCTGTCCCATTGCAGGATGGAGAAGAACCCTCCTACATGCTGGTGAGCACCTCTGACATTCCCTCAGGTCTTGAAGTTTCTTCCCACTAACCAGCCAACAAGATACATTAGAGGCGATGAACAAGGGAGCCTAAGGCTGGCTGGGAGGCAGCAGAGGGCTGAGGTTGGTTCTCCAGCAGGGGTCTGGGGTTTGTTCACCACATTGTCCCACCTAATACTGGATCTTGACTCTTCTGTCAGGGAATTCCAGGAGCTCTTAATCGACTCATGATTCTTTCTTTTTAGAATAATTTAATCCATGATTATCAGAGGTCTGCCATTCATAGTGGACCTCTTCAAGAGTTCTATTGCAGTAGTTATTGCCCTTTGGCTCTGGGAAAATGTTGAAAGACAATAATACTAGTTTAGCTGTTTAGAACTGGGAGATGATGGAGTTATATGGGGAAAGGTATAAGTTTCCAGAAGTCTGTCTCAAGGACATTACAAAAAAGTGGCCAGAAATGCCATCTTGTTTCCATGACAACACTCTATATAAAGAGAGTGACGGAAGAGGAGTTAGGCAAAGAGAGAGCACAGAATCCAGAGAGGGAAGATACTATATTCAACTCCCACAGCATACGCCTAGTGAGCACTTCACATGTTATAATTTTTCATTTTATGACCATAAGCACCAAAGAAGACAGGCTTTACAAGATACCGTGGGACCTGGACTTTTCCTCTTATTCTAGTGAATTTCAAAACTATAGTTATCAAACATATTAACTCAGGGGAAGAAGAAAGTAGTTTTAACACAATTTAAACCTAGCTTGAATAGATAGTAATAAATGTGATGGAAATGGCCTATCAACATCAGGAGTGTGAAGCATTTCCTAAATTCAGAGGTGTCTCAGCTATAGTCTTCAGACACATGTTGTTGTATCTGAAAGCACAACTGGATGGAAATATCTTCACCCCCTCAAACACACACACACATATGAGGGGGCTTCAAACAGTTCATGGAGAACTGGAATCGAAAGATAATTGAATTTTTCTACAAAGTTTTTTTTTGGAGGGGGGGTGAGTGGGTGCTAGGTGTAGGAATAGGAGTGAGGGTTAGTGTTAGGACTATGGCTAGATCTAGGCTAAACACAGGACTTCCTTTAATGTTAGGGTTATGCTTAGGAATAGGGTTAGTATAAAGGATAAAGGCTGGACTAGGGCTAGGAATAAGGCTTGGTCTAATTTTTAGTGTTGCAGTTAGGTTTATTTATTTATTTATTTTGTAAAAAACTTTTCATTGTGAATTGAATGAAAGTTTACGGAGCAGATTATCAGTTTTACATTCGTTAAGTCATTTACTTTGCTTCATTACAATGATTGCAATCCCCTCCATGTACCAAGAATTAACGGTATTTACCTCTATTCACTTTAACTATCGCACTCCTCCCTGTGTCTCCCGCTACCTTCATCTTTCCTGCTAATCTCCCTCTTGCTATATATTGCCTGTCCTGTCACCCATGTTAACATGTCTACCCTCTAGCCCATGAATAATTTTCCCTCCTTCCTTCTTTCCCTTCCTTTGTAGCCATCATATATTGTTTCTTTTATCAAGAAAACGTTTTCTTAACTTTTTGAAACATACAATGTTTGTCCTTTTTTGATTGACTAATTTCACTCAGCATAATGTCCTCATAATGACATCATGTTGTGAGTTATTTCTCAGATTCATCATTATTCTTCAACATTTCATACAATTCTATTGTATGTGTATGTATCACAGTTTGTTTTACCATTCTTCTGTTGATAGGCATTTAGGTTGTCTCCATTTTTTTATGTGTTTCTTATAGACAGCATATTGAAGCATCCTGTTTTCCTGTCCATTCTGCTCTCTCTGTCTCTTGATTGGTACATTTAATCTATTTGTGTTTAGTGTAATTATTAATAGATATTCATTGGTTGCTGTCATTTTGCTGTGTGTGTTTTTTTGTGGTGCTGATGGATTCTTGGTTCCACATAATTTTTGGTTCTGAGTTTGTGGGTTTTCTTTTCATTTTCATTTCTGTCATGTTAATGTTTATTAAATCTTTCTGATTTTCCTCTTTTTTTATTTTTGATATGCAGGTGTATTAATTTTATTTGAGGTTACCTTGTAATTTACTAACATTTTTCCCACTTTAAAAAACAATCTGCTTTATCTTTAAATCTACTAGACTTCCTGGCCATTTGGAAGTTCTGTATCTACACTATTCCTTCTTTTTACTTTATAGTTGACTTCATTATAGATTGATATCTCTGGTTCTCTTGTTTCAGTCTTGAAGGTTTATTTTAGTTCAAATACTTCTATATCTGGATTGGGAAGCCTGGTGTAGTGCTGTAAGATAAGTACTGGACTGCAAGGACTATTTGAAACACAACGTTGGCAGCTCAAACTTACCAGCCGCTCCTCAGAAACCCTAATACAGGGTTGCAATGAGTCAGAACTGACTTGATGGCACTTAACAACAACAGCAATAACATCTGAATTGAGTTCTGGGTGGTGTTGTCATGTATGATAATCTCAGGTTGTTGCCTGCCATTGGTGGTTCTCAGTCCAAATAATATCCTTTAGCATTTTTTATAAAGTTGGTTTGGTCCTTACAAATTCCCTTAGTTTCTGTTTATCTGGAAATACCCTAATTCTGCCATCGTATTTGAGGGACAGCTTTGCTGGATATATGATTCTTGATTGGTATTTTTCTTTTAGAGTTTTGTATATAACATCCCATTGCCTTTTTTCTGCATGGCTTCTGCTGAGAAATCAAAGATCAGTTTTCTTGGCTCTTCTTTGTAGATAACTTTTCATTTTTCCAGAACTGCTTTCAGGATTCTTTGCTTTTCTTTGATTTTGGAAAGTTTGATTATGATATATGTTGATGATTTTCTTTCGGGATCTATCCTGTTTGGGCTTCGTTCAGTTTCTTGTGTGCTATGCTTTGCTTATCTTCTCATCTTTCATGATGTTAGGGAAATTTTGTTCCAACAACTCTTCAGCAAATTTCTCTGTGCTTTTTATTGTCTCTTCCTGTTCTGGAATTCTGTAAGTTATTCTTTTTCATGGTGTCCCACATAACTTAGGTTTTCTTCAGATTTTTTCATTCTATTTTCTGATTGTTCTTCTAGCATACTAGTATTGAGAGATTTATCTTCAAGCTCACTAACTCAAGTTTCCATTGCTTCAAATCTACTCCTTGGCCATTTCAATGTATTTCTGAAATCTTATTATTAATCTTCTGTGTTTCTAATTGCAGGTTTTGTATTGTTTCAAAGTTTACATTTATTTTTGTCTGCCTGTTCTTTTAATGTTTTCCTGAATTCCTCTAAAGTTTTTCTGTGTTCTCCTTGCTTTCCTTGATCTTTCTATGAGTCCTCTTAAGGTACCTAAATGTCATTCTTTTAGTATGGCTATCTTCTCATCTTTCATGATGTTAGGGAAGTTTTCTTCCAACAATTCTTGGACAATATTCTCTATGGGATTTTTGTGTATGTGTCTTTTCCAATCAAATATAAATTACTTTTATCAGATAGTCTGATACCATTTCTGGGATTCTATTTTATGACTCTATATTTTGGTCAAGGACCTCTGGTAGCATAGTTATTATGAATTGTACTGCTAATCTCATGGTCAGCAATTCAAAACTATCAACTATTCCGTGGGAGAAAGATGAGGCTTTCTGCTCCCATAAAGATTTATAGCCTTGGAAACCCTGTACAGGGTCGCTATGAGTCAGAACCAATTGTACAGCACATAACAACAACAACAACATATTTTGGTCACTTATTTGAGGCATTCTGTCTTGTTTCTTTCTGTAAGCTGAAATTGTGTTTTCTCTGAGACATTGTGGTATTGAATTGATATTGATTTGATTTTGGTGTGTTCTTAAGTACTGACTACCTGTCTCTGGTGGATGTGGTAGAGAATGGAAGTGTGAACATAGTTTTCTTTCACTGTCTATGTTGACTAGTTCAGGGCTGGCTCATAGGCCTCCAGAAGCAGAGGTACTATGCCCAGTGCCTGACCCCAGGCAGAGCAGAGGCTGCAGCGGAGGGGGTCACACTGGTCACTGAGTTGGCTAGGGAAGGTACTGGCCACCCATCTGGCTGCTGGGTGGCACAGGAACAAGGGAGAACTACACCCCTTGCTGCCAACCTCCAGCTGTGTCCTATGCCTCTAAGCTCAAGAAGACCATGCTATTCAACACCAGCCCACAGTCTTCCCATTTTTCTTCTCTCTCATTGCTCCTATTCAGAGTACTATTGCAGTTGGCACACCATCTACTTCTATGTCCTATCCTCTGATGCTCAGCGTTCCAGGACCACCATCTGTGCCTGTTTCACTCGGTTTCCCATGCCTTTGTTTCAGAAGGCCGATAGAGTGCATCCTCCTACTCCACCATCTTGACCCAGAACTCTTCCACAAGTTTGTCGAAGTCTCCACATATACGTACCTTTTGCCACACATACCTCTCATGCAGTAAGTTTGCTTTAGGGGGACATTTATTCTCACTCTTTATACTTCTAAAGGTGTGCATGTCAATCATGTAAGTCATTTGTCACATGGCTAAGTAATGGTGGAGCATAGGGAAACAGTAAAGGGACCCACTCAGGACTCTGTGTATTGAGAAATTCACCTTCACTGCTTTATGTGGGCATGTAGTGTAACTCCTGTGGAGTGAGGAATGGGGCTTAATTGCTTCCTGGGATGTCTCTATGGCCTCTTCTGGTTTATAACTAGAGAATTAGAAAGACTGTGTTGAATAGAAAAGGGGACAAATCTGAAAAAATGAAAGCCATTTGTTGAACTTTCTGGATTTCTGAGACCCACCCCCACCCCCACCCCAATTCTCCTCTCCATGAGAGCAATGTTTCTATCACTCCAGGATAGCATTGCAGCTTCAGGAATGCTGAGTCTCTGAGGTGCCTTAGATCAGGGCAACTTTATAAAAAGGTTACCATAGTGGGGATCTCTGCCAACTTTCTGGGACCCACGCATGGACCAGGAATCATGCAGTCTCCAGAAGTCCTGATTGTTTCCTGACTAACCCAGACTTCCTCTGCAGCTGATGTAGTCCTGGACTCTGACACCGCTCATCCCGAGCTCTTCCTGTCCAAGGACTGGAGAAGTGTGGTACGGGGCCCCTCCAGGCAGAGTGTTCCTGATAACCCTCAGAGATTTGACTGTCGGCCTTGTGTCCTGGGCCGGGAGAGCTTCGACTCAGGGAAGCATTACTGGGAGGTAGAAACAGAAAATGTAATGGTGTGGGCTGTGGGAGTTTGTAGAGACAATGTTGAAAGAAAAGGGGAAGCCCCACTGGTTCCTCAGAATGGCTTCTGGGCCCTGGAGATGTTTGGAAACCAATACCGGGCCCTGTCCTCCTCTGAGACAATTATTCCTGTGAAAGAGCACCTTCATCGAGTGGGCATTTTCCTGGACTATGAAGCTGGCGATGTCTCCTTCTATAACATGAGGGACAGATCGCACATCTACACGTATCCCCGGCTAATCTTTTCTGGGTCCTTGAAGCCCTTCTTCAGGCTGGGGTCTGATGACAGCCCCCTTGTCATTTGCCCAGCATTCACAGGGGCTCAAGGGGTCACAGTGCCTGAGTGTGGCCTGATCCTGCACAAGGCAGGGGCTCACCGCCGCCACCAGGATATATTCCTTGGTCTCAGAGCTTTGTAGACATTCTTTGGGCATCTCTGTTACCGTGGTGCAATCCCCAATGTGAAACAAACTCTGGTTTACTCTTTCATGTATGAGAATTTCCTTCTGCTGCCCTTTGACACCCACCTCTCCCTTCACTGGTGGTGGTGGCTGTGTACTGTCAGGTTGGTTCCCACTCATAGCAACTCTGTATAGGGTTTTCAAGGTTGTAAATCTTTGCAGGAGCAGAGAGACTCATCTTTCTCCCAAGGAACAGCTGGTGAATTTGAACTGCTAGTATAGTGGTTGGCAGCCCAACTCATAACTCACAGTAGATGATTTATTGGTAATCATGGGTCAAGGTCCAGTCTCAGGGAAACTAGTGCTGCCACAGGACACTGAGCAGAGGAGAAAGGTGTGTGAGGTAGCAGGCTAACAACTTGCTATTTTAATATCAGGATGACAAGTTCAATGTACAGCTAGAGTTGGCACCAGATGCTCTAGGCTTGATGTGAGGGAACTGAACTTACCAAGATTTAAGAGGCGGGGAGAAACTATAAGAACTCCTGAGTGAAGGGGAAAACCACAAACGGAGGTCTGTGTTAGCAAATAAGACTAGAGAACTGGGAGGAAGCAAAGGTTGTGATGTGGTTACTGTCCAACCATGGCAATTAGGGGTTCCTGGGAATTATATCCATGCCACCCTGAAGATTTCCAGACTATATGGTAAAACTCTGAAGCTCTAGAAGTTGGATGAAGAAAGAAGAAGGAGAAAGACACATCTGGATTTGACCTCACTCAGGTATTCCTGGAATAAATAAATGAGTTAGCACTCATGTGGTTTGAGGGCAAGGGCCCAAATGAGCAGGTGAGTATGAAACTGTATTGCTCATAGGATTCAAGGACAATGAAGAGAAAGAAGTTTAGGCATTAGGATGCCTTTACACACTTAAAAATTATAATTATAACCTATTGAGCACCCCAAAGAGCTATTTGGATTCATACTATCTGTCAGTATTGACTTCATTAGAAGTTGAAACAAAAAAATTCTTAATGTATTTATTCCTTTATATAATGATGAAATAATAGCAACAACCAGTTTTATAGGTTACTACAAATGCTATGTTTAAAAAGCTGTTTTATTGTTTTCAAAGCAAAATAAAGTTTAATGAGAAATGTGGCATAATCTATTTGTTTTTAAAATGTCTTCAAATCAAGTGTATGCATGGGACTTAAGAGAAGGTGGTGGGATTCTCATCTTTGCTTCTGCCATCAGTCTTTTGTAAGTAGAAGAGAGATGTGAGAAAATGAGACTGAAACTAATAAGTAATGTCTTCATATTATTATGGGAGTGGTTCTGACTGCTGGACCCCATAAATTATCAACAATTTCCCAAAGTCCCCAGTCCATATTTTGAGAATCAGAATAGAGGATCCTGTTAGGCATCAAGTATCATGAGTCAGTGATAGCACAATGGATTTAAGACAATTCACTGACTCAAATTTTAAATTGGGCTGGAAAAAAATATTAAGTCTAAAATATTATCACTGCAGTTATAAATGGCACAGTCTTGAGGGAATCAAGAACATATGAAAATAGTGTTGTGTTAAGATGAAAGATTATGGGCTGTTTATATGTACATGTGTGTTGTTTCCATTTTTGTTATTGCTGTAATGCTACTTGTACAAATTTGTTTTAACTAAAAGTACTAGACAGAGAGTCAGGATTGAAGTCCTGCTAAGAGATGGCTATAATCATCTTAATCAAGACAGCTGTTGAGTGGTTCAGCTTTAGTTTCTATAGAATACGGCTTTATAAGTGTTCTAGGGGGAAAAGACTCTTATATAGAGACCCTTTTAGTAAGCTTTAAACCGGGTAAGGACAAGACACAAAAACAAATTATCTGGATGAGAGAGACAACCAAAAGATTAATGGTCATGTGATTAATTATTGTTGTTAAGTGTTGACCAGTTGGTTCTGACTTACAGCGAACTGGTGGGTTTGAACTGCCAAGGTATAGCCTACAGTGCCACACCAGGACTCCATGAGTAATTAACCAAGAATTAAACTAGAAAACCAGGACTCTGTGATTAGAAAACAAAGGAAATCACCCTAAAGTCATGTATGATAGTAGATAAATAACTTGTAGATAAAGTAAGTATATATCAAGCCTTACTTCACTTTCCTGACTCCCATAATTTCGTGCACTAAAAATTTCCACTAATTGCCCTTTAAAGCAGAGACTGAGTTGTTGGGCTAAGAAGACAGATTGTAACAGAAAAATTAGCCCCTGACAAAATGCTTTGTTAAACAACTCTCAAGAAGGAACAATCTGAGAATGCACCAAATGAGTTTACTTATAATGTTTAAGCTTGCAGTTTAACAAACCTTTTGTAACTTTTGCCATGCTTCTAAAGGCCTGGACCACACATCCATTATTTACTTTGCCTTTTAAGAACCCAGACTGCCCCTCTGCAATTCAGAGAATTACACATCTTACATGTAATGTCTTCACATTTTGAAATAATTCTATTCCTTCAATAAAATGTTCATTTTATCAAGAATGTCAGTCTAGTGTTTTCAATAAGACAAAAGTGTTCTGGGGGGGAAAGTCCCAAATTCAAATATATTTTATGGAGATTCCTTTATTAAGTCGAAACAGGACAAAGACAAATCATTCAGTTGAGGGGGACCATCAACATAAGGTCATTGCTGTTGTAGTTAAATACTGTTGAGTTTGTTCCGACTCATAGCAACCCTGTATAGGCTCTCCAAGGAGCAGCTGGTGAGTTTGAATCACCACCCTTGTGGTTCAAACTGACCTTGTGGTCCAGTGCTTATCGTACAGAACCACCCCTGGTCATAATGGTCTCCAAAGGATTGTGGATTATAGGGCACAGAAATCAAAGATTCATCACAAACTCATGTCACAGACAGGACTACAGAAAAGGGAAAGGCCCATGACTAGGATATGGACATCACTGAGATAAGAAAGGCACATAGGGGTGGTTCTGGGATCCTAAAATCACCTTGGTGGGAGTATAACTTATGACTACATGGCCCTGGTACCCCAATTTCCACTAAGAGTACACTCAGTCAAGTCCCTAAAAGTTAGAGTACCCCTTCCAGGACTTCTTGTTGTTAAGTGCTGTTGAGTCAGTTCTGACTCATAGTGATCCTATGTAGGGTTTCTGAGTGTTGGTAAACCAAAATGGGGATTTGCCACCTGTCACTATAGTCAATCACAGAACCCGGGAGAGATCCAATCCAAGCTTCATTAGCAGAAAGTCAGCAGTCTAGAGGACGGAGAGAATACTTTCTCAAGATAGTCCTGTCCTTTATGAAAAGCAGGCCCATTATATAGGGTAAGTTACATTTGGGTGTACACTTAATCTATTTTAACATCAAGATAGCATTTTTTTGGAAAGAGAAACAATAAAGCAATAAACTTCTTCAAACATTCTACCTTTAGGGAAAAGGAAACAATCAGGCAATAATCCTCCTTAAACATTCCACCTTTTAGGATCCAAGCTGCTTAGTTCCTGAAATAACTATCTGGGTGGGCTTAAGCACAACCTGTTCTCCTTCTAGAACCATGAGGTCATCTCAGCTAATTTTTAAACTAAGGTCCTCATTTGCAGGGTTTTCATTTATCAAGACCTAATGACTAACCCGACTTCATTTTGTTTAGGTTGGAAGATCCATGCTATCATGAGGAGCAGCTGGTGGGTTTGAACTGCCAACCTTGCAGTCTAGTTCTTTGTTCTATAGTGCCAGACCAGTACTCCTTTTAGGGAAGCCCTAATAATTCACATGCAATTGCATTCTGCTTGAGGGCAGAGCTTTCTTAATTGGCAGTAAATGAACTCAGCGGAGGTTGACTTTATGTCAAGGTTCAAAATGGAGTGAGCTTCCAGTGCAAAACATTATTTGTTAGGTGCTGTCGGTTGGTTTCAACTCATAGTGACCCTATGCACAACAAAACGAAACACTGCCTGATCCTGCGCCAACCTCACAATAGTTATATTTGAGCCCATTATTGCTGCCATTGTGTCTATCCATCTAGTTGGGGGGGGGGGGGAAGTCTTCCTCTCTTTCACGGACATTCACTTTTCCAAGCACGATGTTCATCTCTAGGGAATGGTCTCTCCTGATAACATCCCCAAAGTACAAAAGACAGTCTCGCCATTCTTGTTCCAAAGGAGCATCCTGGATCTACCTCTTTAAAGACAGATTTGTTTGTGCTTCTGGCAGTCTGTGATACTTTCAACATTCTTAGTCAACACTGTAATTCAAATGCATCAGTTCTTCCATGGTTTTCCTTATTTGTTGTCCAACTTTCAGATGCATAAGAGGCAGTTGAAAATGTCATGGCTTGGATCAGGTTCATCTTAGTTCTCAAAGGACATATTTGCTCTTCAAGACTTTAAAGAGGTCTTTTGCAGCACATTTGCCTAACACAATATGAACTTTGATTTCTTGACTGCAGCTGCCATGAACATTGATTACGGATCCAGGTAAATTGAAGTTTTTAGCAACTTCTATCTTTTCTCCATTTATCATGATGCTATTTATTTGTCCAGTTAGGATTTTTGTTTTCTTTACATTGAGGTGCAATCCATACTAAAAGCTATAACCTTTGATCTTCATCAGTAAGTATCTTCACTTCAGGGGGTCCTGCTGTGGATAAGCACTGGACAGCTAACAGCAAGGTCAGTGGTTTAAACCCACCAGCTGCTCCTCAGAAACCCTATATAGGGTTACTATGAGTTGGACTGCATTCAATGGCATTAAACAACAACTTTGTTTCCAAAAAGCAACATGGTGTCATCTGCATGTTGCAGGTTGATAATGACTTTTCTACCAATTCTGATGTCACCTTCTTCATACAATCCAGCTTCTCTCATTATTTGCTTAGCATAAAGATTCAATTAAATATGATAAAAGAATATAACCCTGATGCACACCTTTTGTGATTCTAAACCATTCAGTAACCGCTTGTTCTGTTCAAAGGACTGTCTTGGTCTCTGTATAGGTTCCTCCTGAACACAATAAACTGTTCTGGAAATTGAAAAAACTGGGGGGGTGATGTCTGACTTCCTCTGGTTTCACAAGGGGAAGAAGAATCAGACTCAAAACAGCTCAAGGCAGATTCCTATAAGCAGTGGTCAGACAGGCCTCCACCTTACAACCATCACTCCCATAGCACTCTCTGGTTCACAGCACTCATTTGATAAGCCATTGCAATGGCCACACAGAAATCATAACGATACTCACCATTATTGGGTTTATTAGGAAGTGAACAGGGTACAGGTCAGAATGAGAACAACTCAGGATGCAGAAAATTTCCAAACAGGAATGTCTCTTCCCTGCAGTATTGCACGCACACCTGCAGCTGACATAAACATTGATTACAGATCCAAGTAAATTGAAGTTTTTTCTTTTCTCCATTTATCATGATGTTATTTATTAGTCCAGTTAAGATTTTTGTTTTCTTTACATTGAGGTGTCTTCAACCTCTCAATCATGTGGGACCTTGATTTCTGCCCTCTTTTTTCCCAGTCTGCAAATGTTGAAAGGGCACATTCTGTAAGCCAACCTCCTGTTCATAGGCACTCAGCTTTACTCAGTCCATGGGCCTAGAAGCCCGCAGAAGCTCTGTCTCTCCATGCCACTGCCTTAGCCACCACCTCTGCTATCACTGCTTTTCTAGATAGGCATCTCACTCATGATCCACTCTTGCTCTTCTTTATTGACAGTCCTTGGATCCACTGTTCCTTCTTCTGAGATGGCTCCTTTTAAAATGAATGAGCAAGATGGCAAAACTAACAAATTCCAGCATTAAAGTTCTATACACCCTACTTGCTT